ATTTAATAAAATACTTACTTCGATAGTGTTTTCTAATAACCAATTAATGTCAATTTTATTTATAGTTTGTGGTGGGTTTGTTATATCAATATCAGGGCCACATATCATGGAGAGTATTATACTTTGGAGAATCAGTGACGAAAACTCCATTTCTATGTAATCTTCATTTACAGACTTAGAAACAATGATTCCTTCCGCGAAAAGTCGATATATTTCGCCATCTTCATTATTACACTTTACCGAAAGCAAAAAGAAAGTAAGTAACATGCGTGCATTAGTAACTGACAAATAGTTGAGCCCATCTCGTAAGTATAGGTTCTGTAGCAGAGAACAATGCTAATAATGTCCATTGGTTTCGATAAAAGATTCTTAATAACTCGAACAATGGATTTGTAAGCTCTAAGCTTCTTGATAAACTTTATTAATCTTGTTGATGAATACTTCATCCATTGATCAAATGATAGCTCATTTTTACCCATCATTACTTCTGTTTCTATCGCCTTGCAACAAGCGCCAACAAGACCTTTGTGGCCATTAGTGCATTCATAAATGTCTTCAGAAATTCTACATATGTCAAGATTAATACCATATTGTTTGCTATATTGATTAAAAAGCATCTTTATTTCATTTTCATTAAAAAACATAGAATTATAATGTTGCTGGTTACAAGTTCAGTTTGTATTGAAAATCGACCAACCCCCACAAGTGCAAATGAATGTACACAGTAGGTTGAATAATTCTTGAGTAATTGTAATGTATTGATAAATTCTTCTAGAATTAATAGTTCCTCAAAAACATTAGAAAAGTCGTCGATTATGAATGAAATAGAAGACCTATTCTTTTTTTTAAAAAAAAAATTTATGAAGACGTTTGCTCTACATTCTCTTGAATCATTGAAAGAAAACCATTTACTATTTCTGGCACGAAATAGTTTGCACATTGATAACCAAAAGGCCATTTTTCCATTTCTTATGTCGATCCTGACACCAAAAATAATCAGATATATACGGTTGCTATAATAGAAGTTGTCTTTCCGCTTTGGCAGTTACCTTTAATATAAATATAGTGTCCATCTACAAGGTGTTAATACAGATCCATGATCGTATGTTCGGAAGAAACATAAAAATTGAACTCTTTATTGGCCTCTATTCTCTCAGACAAATGCTCTGGAGAAAAAAAAAATCACATTAAATTTTCTATTCATCCATTCCAAACAGGTACTCAACTTACTAAACAATTTAATCTTTTTAGAATCTGGTATAGAATCTTCGTTATTATACTTTATTTTTTTTTTGGATCTTTATTTTCTTTTCCTTTTCCTGATCCTGATTTCTGTAAAACAAATTATGAGTAAGATATCCTAACATAAGGAAAGTACATACATAGCTGATTCCTCTTCCGAAATCAGTAAACCATAATCAAGGAATTTCCTATAGTAAAGATGTACAATATTGCAGAGGAAGTGATACAAAGCTTATAAAAAAGTTTGTTGGATCTTTGTTTAGTTTTTGCTACCTATAACGACTTCATTCTAAGAATTTTTCAAATAATATTGACAAAAATTATGACTTGCTGGTGTGCTTCCTAAACTTGTGCTAATTAAGTGAAACAGACGCTTTTGCTACATTTATTAAACAAAGATTATACCTATAACGACCCTATTCCAAACATTTTTTGAATAATATTGACAAAAATTAAACAAAGACCAAACATCCTTTTTTATAAGGGGCACACGATGGCTAGAACGCTCTTCTTTCCCATGCTAGTGGGACAGGACATAGCACACTTCACTACTTTCCATTAATTAAACACTAACCCCAAAGTCTCATTTCAAAGCTAGAGCTTTCTTTGCTTCATGCGTTTCAGGTTTTAAATTTTCTATTAACGTTTTTAATTCAACAACAAATGATACATGACATGCTTGCAGTGATTCATCGGATCTTGTTTTATTGAAGAACCTGGTCCAACTTTTCAATTCCCATTCGCGATATGAAGTTTTTTCTAAAATGGCTTCTTGTAATATTGAAAGAAGAGATATGGATTTCAAAAAAACAAAATATGATTTACATATCTGAATGAGAGAAGGCGTGTTAAAGAATTATATACCAGCTAAAAGACGCGTATTATCCTGATAATACAGTCAGGGATATTACCAAAAACGAAAATCGATTCTAGAACATTTCTAGAACGATCTACCATGCTTGGTCTATGAAAATACACGTACCTTTAATATATAGTCTTCTCAGGTGTAGTTATTAGGGTGGGGAATGGGCCGGGTCAGGCCGGGCTTTACTGGGCCCAAACCCAAGCCCGATAAATATTTTTGGGCCCAAGCCCGGCCCAGAAAAAAAAAGCCTGCAACAATGGGCCGGGCCGTAGCTCATATTAAAATTAGGTCTGGGCTCAGCCCAGCCCGGCCGCTCACTCATAGAAAGACATTCATCTGATTGGCTAAGTTTTATAGATCTACCTGTGATTTCCCGTAATAATTAGCCAATCAGATTACATAATTTATACACTT